TTCAACTTTCAACATCTGGAAGGCACCTCCTTGGTACAAAAGGGGGAGGTCAAAAAGAATAGCTTATTTCAGACTAATTGCATGATCAGATGTTCTCATTCTGATCTGTCAATAAATGCGGTTAATTGAAGCTTCAACAAACTGGAGCTTAAGTATGTGCTCTTAATTAATTTTAAATCATCTCATCCCATCTTCTAGTGAGATTAAAAAAATTGTTTTTCCCTGTAGTATTCAATTGAAAATTTGAGTAGTTAGCAAACGAAGCCTTAATGTTTTGGTATTGAAAGTAAAACTATTGCGCAATTCTAACTTTTACGAATTCAATTTTAGATTATATTTCCATGAATGAAGAACTTCTTACTTCAAGAAAGAAAAAAAATACTCCCTCCTTCCCACAATATAAGGGATTTTGATTTTTTTTCTTGCAACGTTTGACCACTCGTCTTATTCAAATTTTTTTTACAAATATAAAAAACGAAAAGTTGTGCTTAAAATATTGTGGATAATAAAGTAAGTCACAAATAAAATAAACAATAATTTCAAAAAAAATTGAATAAGACGAGTGGTCAAACGTTGCAAGCAAAAACTCAAAATCCCTTATATTATGGGACGGAGCTTATATTATAGGACGGAGGGAGTATATCTTTAGTACAATCAGTATACTCCCTTCGCTTTTTACTAGACATATTTTTAAGAGATTACTAGACATATTCTGATTTCAGAAATATGTATATCCTCTATTTAAAGAAACTAACTTCTGATTACAATCTAAACATAGATTTTTTAAAAAAAACTAAGTGAGTAGAAAATATTTGGGTTCGTTAGATGGTGTTTGGAGTAAATCTTTTGTGCACACAAAACATAGCGACATATTAAAATATGATTAATTAAGTATTACCTAATTTTTTTTAAAATAGATTAATATGATTTTTTTAAAAATATATTTTTATTGAAAATTATTTTTTATAAAAATAAGCAAGATAAGTTAGGAAAGAAGGGGAAGAACACAGCCTATAGAATCTTTGAGGCGGTTCACTTCACCCTAACCAAAAGAATCTTTGCAGCTTGGGAACGGTGACGTTGCCTTTGTCTCCTTGATGAGAATCTCTCTCTCTCTCTCTACTTTGGCGTGTCATCTCAGCAATGGCGGCAGCAAAATCCCATGGAGATCTCATCTCACCTCTGTCTTTCTCTCTCTCTCATGGCCCACTCTCTCTCATGGCCCACTCATACATGGAATCCTTAGCCCCTTGCCAAATTGCTGTTGCCAATAATAAATTCCAAACCTCTCTCCCAAATGAGGGAATCTCAATTGTCACTATGCCCAAACCACCTGCCACGTGGAGGACAGCCATTGGCTGGGAGGATGAACAATCTTTGGAGTAGTGGTTCTACTGCACAGAGACTTGCATCATGGCTGTGATGATGAAAATGATCATAACTTTAATTTGGTGAAAGTAAAAAAAAACACATGTCTTTTTCCATGGTGAAAAAGATACCAGAAATCAATTTCGTAATACCTAGTACTCTCTCCGTCTCAGAATATAATAATTTAGAATCAGATGTGACTTATCTTAGTGCTATGACTTTAGACAGATCCCCTTTCCAGATTCATAGTACTAGAATATGTCGCATCCAATTCTAGATTGTTATAGTGGATAGGGATAAGTGGAGTACAAAGCTATCTATTGTCCTAAAATATAAACACTTTTTACTGAGATAAAGGATAGTTGTGATAGTAAGAGATGAGAAAATGTGTGGAGAAGTTATATGCATGAAAGATTGTTGTGATTGGTTGAGATGAAGGAGAAATCAGATAAAATCTCAACATAGAACTAGCTATATTTTCGCACTGAGCGAGTAACTAATTAATTACTCTTATATATGGGCTTTGTGCACTATACTATGTGTAACTTCTGTGTCAAGGCACAAATCCTTTTCAGATTTGACAAGGGTCAGATGCTTGAATTATTGCATTAGCTACAGTACTTGTTGGAAAAAATAGAAAAGTGAACCTCTCACTTTCACGGGATCAATGCCATCGAGATAGATATCCCTAATTAATCTATTGCATGCACTCCTTCCATTTCACATGTAAGACTTTCTAGCATTTCCTATATTTATATAGATGTTAATGAATCTAGACATATATATGCATCTATATTCATTAGCATCTATATGAATATGAGCAATGCTAAAAAGTCTTACATTGTAAAACAGAGGAAGTACTAATCTAACATTTACCAATAGCAGATAGAGAGAGAAAACAGTACCATGGCAATTCTCTGGTCCCCCAACCTCCCTAAAAAAATTAGTACTAAAATGACTTTCAAGATGCATGAAAGAGTGAAAAAAAAATGAAATAGTGATATATAGACTGATAGCTATTACTAACATATAGAAGAACTCGATCTGAATTAGGATGTCTTTTGTTTTCACATTTATTTGATGTCAATTTGCATTTATATGATGTCGTTGACATGCTCTTCCTACCGATAAGCACCGAAGGCGTGCTGCATGAGGTAGAAACAAAAGTCCAACACACTTTTTTGGTCATGAGTGTCATGGAAACCTCATGAAATCTATCTCCTAGGTCACATTAATTTTATAGTTGGTACATTGGGTACTTTGACTAAGGATGCTATTTATGAATGGTAATAATAATGTGATTCTCAATAGACCTACCCCTCCTCAAAATAAAAAAAAAAGACAAACCGTGCGTCCGGGTTCGTAGCTAGGATTTTTTTTGACAGAATAGTAAGTCTCATAAAAAAATAAGTAAAACGGAGACATAATTTGAGTAAGGAGGTGTGTTGGCTAGCTCATTAATATAATGCGGGGTAGAAAGGTTAGAGAATGTTACTCCTTGTGTTTTAGCATCTATCGGTTGGCAAGTGATGGTAACAGCAATAAATTTATTGCCAGAAAACCACAAAGCAACATATCAATTTCTTTGTTAAAGAAAACCAGGTTTGACCATTAGCTAAAGACAGAATTTCCATAAAACTAAACTTCTATTTCATGAGGGAAATCTTTCAAAGAAAATGATGATAAGTAGCTTTAGCTTCGAGATGGCACCGACGAATCGTCAAGCATGTATGTTCAAAGCTTGTTGGTGCCGCATCGAACCGGCTCAAAAAAAACATGAAGAAGAAGCAAAATAATTAAGTTTAGAAATTTTGTGGAAAGGAATGTATTGTGGGATCTAAACACATAGACCATTTTTATCGAAAAAAAAACAATGCCATCAATTCTTCTTCGAAGAAAAGGAAGAAGAAGGACGAGAAAAGAGTAATAAAGAACACACGAATATATCCGTGTGTATCCCTTGATGAAACCTACCCCTCACCAACTCTTCCCCCCTGATCTCAAGCATCTAGCATCAACAAGAAGAGAATAGCACAAAACCTCCTTGCTAACGACAACATAGGAAAGGAGGAAGAATCAACTTTCCAGCAATGGATCCTCTTGTCTTGCTGTCCCCCTCCCTTGGTTTCTTATTAATTCACATCGCATCCAAACACACACAGATTCTCCATCTTTTCTTTTTTTTTTCTTTGCAAGGACAATTATTCTTATTCGAAAAGCAAATTAAAGAAACTCGGTTCGGTTTCAGTTGGAACACAACAGACGCCGTCGCGATAAGGCAGAAAAAGAAAAGAGGAAGTGCCATTTACAATAGATTCTGCAAGGTACGCAGGGACGTGCGAGGACGATTTCTCTACTTATAAAAAACCCAATGAAATTAGGTTTGGTTCTAGTTGGAACACAACAGATGCTGAGACAGAAAAAGGAATGAAAAGAAAAAGAGATAGTAAGAGCTGTAGAATATTGGTGCTCCACCAGCAAGTGCAAGTGCAGGGACCTGAATGAAAAACCTGAAAAGGACCCATATGAAATTGAGGGGAAATGTGAGGGGGTGGTGTGTAAAAGAGAGGGTGGTGTGGAGGAAGAAAGATTCGTGGGGAGGCGGTATCCTGACTGTGTTTGGTGATGGTTGGGTGTTACGCGACGAAACGCCTCTGATCCCCCATCCATATTCCACGGGCGGCATCTTTTCTCCGACTCTCACCTCCCCTCCCCTCTCAATTTACCATCCTACCCCTCTCCCCTCTCCCCTTCATTTCATCACTAGTAAAATAATACTACTATTCATGCTATGTACTATTATTTTTTTTTTCTAAACAAGCTATAATTTTTTTAAAAACAGGCTATTCATGCTATAATGGGGTTGTTCGGTTGAGCTAGCTATGCTGTGGTAGCCAGCCCAATACAACTATACCGGTTGTAGTAACCAATTGCAGCAGCAGCGTGTGTTCAAACTTGCAGTCGAATGGCTAGGGTTGCGTAGCATAGTCTAGATCGCTGCAACGACAGAGTATCGAACAACCCTAATACTACTACTTCGTAGGATTTTTCATTGTTCCAATCTAAACTGAATTTTCTTGTGAAGTTCTAGCAAAATTCTTGTTTGGCATGGCTCCACGTCTGGATCAACTCTTGGAATCTCGAAAAAAAAGAACTTATACATTAAATTAACATGCATTAATCCTCTTATTTTAATTTTAAATATGAACTAAATATTTCGTATTATTGAAATTAATCAACCATCACCTACAACTCATGAATTTCCGGAGCTAAAGATGTCTCGTTATCAAATATTCCATCCGTCTTTTTTGATATTTTAATTTTGAACCAACCAACATCAAATATTAAAGGATGGTGGCAGTAAAAAAAAAACTTGGAGATTTTTACGTCTAGAAACCATCGTTACACATAAATTTAGGCAGGAAAGTTTTTTTTCCCAACTCAGAGCATTTTAGTTGCAAAAGGTTTATGCAAAATAAAGCAGAAAAAAAACTACTACCAGTATCTTTTACATGCACAGATCAGAAGGAACCAGTGGTTGTACAGATAATAGCAGAAGCTAGTGGTATCTTCCACGGCCGATTCTATACTGTTCCACGTCAAATTACCATTCTACCCTCCATTCTGCCTGAACCGGAACCCCCAACCTTCCTCCGGTATAAACGCGGCGAGAGCGCGACGCCGCAAACCATTTCCACCGCCACCGTCTCCTCCCGAATTCCGGCGAGGTGTTGTGGACGATGGGGTCGTCGTCGGCGTCGGCGGCGCAGCACGAGGAGGCGGCGGCGGCGGCGGCCTTCGTCCTCGGCGGCGTCGACATGCGGATGCTGGCGGCGAGGACGGCGACGGGCGCGCTGGCGAGGGCGGGCGGCGGCGAGGCGGCGGCGGCGGCGGCGGCGGCGGCGAGGTTCGAGGATTGCATCCGGAGCCTCGAGGCCGAGAAGGCCAAGATGGAGGTGTTCCGCCGCGAGCTCCCCATCAGCGTCCACCTCATCGCCGACGGTGAGCTCTACCTCCACCCTCTACCTGCTCGATCACTCGATCTGCCTATAGATTTCATGGATGATTATTCGCTGAGATCTTCTTGGGCGTCCAGTGATCGAGTGGCTCAAGGACGAGGTGGAGAAGCAGCGGCTGCTACGGCGGCGGCAGGTGGAGGCTCCGGCGGCGGCGCCGCCACCGGAGATGTTCGCGCCGCCGGCGACGGCGAAGAGGAAGTCGGCGGCGTCGGCGGCGGCGGAGGGGGTGAAGGCGGAGGCGGACGCGAACGACAAGCGGAGCTGGATGAGCTCGGCGCAGCTGTGGAGCTGCGGGAGCCACACAAGCACCAGCACCAGCAATGGCGGCAGCGTCAAGAAGCAGCAGCACAAGGTATTTTTGTTTGGTTAAGTTTTGTAGTTTTTTTTTTTATAAAACAAATCAAGTTTATACTAGTTTGAAGGGAAGATATGGGAAAAACATGAATATTTTGTTTGGTTAAGTTTTGTCAAGTTTGTCCTAGTTTGAAGGGAGATTGTTTTGGAAGGGAAGAGAAGGAGTAATGCTACTCCTACTAGATTTTTTTTGAAGAAACTTAATTTGCAAATTTATGCGATACTACTACTACTAGTCTAGTGCTACTAAAAAAAATGGAGAAAATTGTAATATTGGGACTGCAAACACGTGGGCTTCGCTGTTTTGACACTCCGAGTGGATGACAAATGGGTCCATCTGTGTGTATGAAATGTGGGTCCAGTGTCATTATAGCAAAGTTTAATGTTTGCCGTGTTATAATTGCAAATCCCCAAAAAAAAAAAATAGGAATCTTTACAATTCAGGTGTTCAATGAAAAATTCTCTCTCTTTTTTTGGTTTCTACTAGAAAGAGGAGAAACTTTTTCCCCATATCACCATGTAGAATAGAAATGGAAAAATACAGAATAAAACAAAAAAAAAACAAAGATTCATTTTGTTCGATTTCTTGTAATTTGTCAATTTTTTCTATGTTATTCCACCAAGAAAATATTAACACATGTTGAGCATGCATAGCTTTGTTGTCAATCTCATGCATATTTGTCTGTATTTTCGCTAACTTTTTTCTCAAAAGAGTATATTTTTTCCTAACTAGTTCTGTCAATTTCAAATCATGATCAGGTGTCCAATGCGTTCATGCCACTGGCCACCTTGCCGGCGTTTGCAAAATCACTGGAGAAAGCCGACGCCGCCGTGCCAGACCTGTCCCTCTCCTCCCGGGTGGCGATGGCCGACGCCCCGGCATGTCCGGCGGCGCCGAGCGCCACCAGCAGCGCCGTCACGGATGTCGCTGTAGCGCAGCGGCAGCAGGCGGTGCAACGGAAGGCCAGACGGTGCTGGTCTCCGGAGCTCCACCGCCGGTTCGTCGCCGCGCTCCAGCGCCTCGGTGGCCCACAAGGTGAGGATCATCTCATTCTCATCAACCTAAATTGTGCAAATTGCCACATTTTATTTTAGATTCGATTTTTTTTTCCAATGATAATTTTAGATGATTGTATTTTCTTTCTGAACTGTTTAGATGATTGAGTGATAATTTGTGGTCACATTGTTGATTGCTCCTAGTAAAATTGTTTGATTAATTTTTTGATTGGTGCGCTGAAACTTGCTTAATGTTTTTTTATTGTTGATGCAGCTGCAACTCCCAAGCAGATTAGGGAGCTGATGAAGGTTGATGGCCTCACTAATGATGAAGTCAAAAGCCACCTGCAGGTTTGTTCAGTCTCAACTCCTTACTTTTACAACCTAAAAAATATTGCCATATGTCGGTGGCAACAATTTGGTACGCCTCTTTTATAAAAAGTTCACGAACCTCAAAGCAAATTGTGCAGAAGTACCGGCTGCACACGCGGCGGGCATCCGACGGCGGTGATGGTGGCGGTGACCATCAGACGGTTGGCGGCCGTCTATGGCCGCTGCCACCGGAGCAATACACCACCTCGCAGCACAGCACATCGCAGTCTGGCTCGCCGCAGGGCCCCCTCCAGCTCACCGTGTCGTCGAGCCACGCCGTGTCAGTGACCGCCGGCGATAGCTGCGACGGCGGTGAGGAGGAAGAGGAGGACGGGAAGTCGGGGAGCTATAGCTGGGAGATGCAGAATGGGGCAAGGGCATCATCATCATCTTGAGCACCATTAATTAATTGTCTCCAGGTGCTGCACAGCAGCAGTGACCGAAGAACTTAGGCCTATTTCTGTACAGTGGTTGAGAGCTTTTTTTGGGCTTTTTTTTTGGAGGATGAGATTAAGTACGGGAGTTACCCATGTGAGTAATTTGAGTTGTTGTTGTAGAGGGTTTGAGAATATGAGAGGTGTTAATTACATCACATTGTATAATCTTTGGGCTAAATTGTGATGTCGAGATTAATTATTCTTATGTGAGGAGAATATTGCTAGATTATTGTCCACCTTTGATGCCTCCTGTTGTGCAAATTTATTTATTTTTTTGAATATGCAAGGAACACATCTTTTTATTAAGGGGAATAAAGTTTATTTACAACGATAATTTTATACATTATAAGCCATAATGGCTTATCAAAAATAAAAAGTATTTTACGAAGAAAACTTTTATATATGTGAACAAATTATGGGAAAACACGCTAAAAACTGTAAAATGATTCCAAAATTGAGTTTTAAAATTCAAATTTGACTACAAGTTATAAGTGAAAGGCATGTTGATTTGTTTGTAAAATTTCATCAGGCACACTACTGGCTGTGATAATAAAAAAAATGTAACTGAAAAATTAACAACTGAGGTAAAAAAATGAAAGTGAGATCATTCGATTAGTTGCTTGCATCTTGCAGTGGATCTTGATTGGAGATGTTCTCTTGTGCCAATGAATCTGGATCAGGATCAGGATCATTTAACCCTTTTTTTGGTAAGTGCATTGGTGAGCATCAAGAGAGTGGTTCACTCTAACCTACTCATATTAATGCTTAATCAATCAAGTGGTTGGTACTGCGTGCAAGATGGTATAATTATGAACTTCGGATCTTGACTTTTGCCGTGCATTTCGTACTGGTTTCATCCTTTGGCGGGAATTGGTAGAGGAAGCTACCTCTAGGGTTCATTGTTCATCTCTTCACTGTACGAATTTACTAGTTTTTTTCTTTAAAAAAATAAAAACTGTACGAGTTGAATCAGGAACAGTTTATAAATTTGTGTCCGGTTTATTGGGTTTGAATTGAATTGGGCTGAAAAAAATGCAGGTCCATTTATTTCCTGGGCCGAAATGGGCCATCCCTTTTCTGATTGAGCCGAATAAATTGGGCTAAAAAATCCAGCCCAATCCACAGTGGTAGTGAGGGGAAAACCTCCACGATTTCTCGCGCCGCCGCCGCCGCCGCCGCCGTTTGGCTGAGCACCTCGCCGCCGGCGCTATTCCCCACCGGGGAAACCTCGCCGGCGTGTCTGTGGAGATTTCTGCTGCGAGGGAAGCTTCTTCGTCGACTCCGCCGGTGCGGTTGCGGTTCAGGAGCTCGCCGAGCGGCGGCGGCGGCGATGAGGGAGGCGGTGACGGTGCAGGTCGGCGGCTTCGCCAACTACGTCGGCTCCCACTTCTGGAACTTCCAGGTGAGTCGCCCTCTCTCTCTCTCTCTCTCGTCTCCGGCAAGACCCCCAGCTTGTTGCTCCACCTGGTGCAAGAACCTGACGCTTCTTGGGGTCTTCTTCTTCTTCTTCTTCTTCTTCTTCTTCTTCTTCTTCTCCAGGATGAGTTGCTCGGGCTCGCCGACGACCCCGACGCCGATCCGGTCTTCAAGAACGCCGCGCTGGACATGGACGTCCTCTACCGCTCCGGCGAGACGCACCAGGTAAAGCCGCCGCTCATCGCTGGCATGACAAAATGCGTCGTTTCTTTTCTTTCTGTATTTGTTTCTCTTTTTTTTTTGGCGTTGTTGTTCATCTTTTACTGACTACTAGTATACACTGCTTGATTTCACTAGGGTGTTGCTACCTACTGCCCTCGTCTGGTGTCTGTTGATTCTCGAGGTAATTTGATGCTGAATTTGGTCCGAATATTATTGTAGTGCGTAAAACCCCATGTTTAGCATTCAACTTATAAGCATAAACGAAAATTTTGAATCTTAGAACTTAATTTCAGGGTTGATTATGGGGTTTTTTTTTTCATCATGGTTTATTTTCCAGCATTTTGTTTTAAATCAGTAAGAACACGTATTTAAATTTTTTTACCCATAAATGATTTTCTAATCGCTACCAGTCCATTTCACTTATAATAAGTATATAAGCGAAACGATGAGGAAATAAGAACTAAGAACTGTTATTTTGTTATTGGTAGTGTATATACTGCATGTTCACGGTGGTATCATTTGCAGGGTCTCTTGGCTCTTTGAGTTCATCCGGTAATCTCGGTCAGTCTAGTACTGCTGCAGATCAACTCAATGTTGCTACATGGCAAGTGGCGCTCTAACTTCTTTAGAATATGTTTTCATGTTTGGTTTTGCTTATTGTGCCCACCATGAATAATTGACCACTGTGATTTGGCATGTACGACCTGCGCAGAAGGCGGCTGTTGTTTCAGTTTAGTTTTGGATTGCTTGTGCGAATGGGTTACAGATGTGCTAGGATCGTTTAAATAAGCTTGCATATCTATAACTGGGGGTAATTCTGACAAATGGTGAAATCATGTCTGCATCGTCAAAGCAAGCAGATAGCAAATACAGCAGCTTTACTATAGCACTGTTATATTGATACAGTTCTAGGAAATTTCTGCAGCCTGAGCAAACAATGAGCTGTTCTTAGGCTGATAATAAGAGAGTAATAAACTGGTAATAATGATTCATATGCTCATCCAGCTGCTGTGGAAGTGATGCATTGCATCTGCCTATTATTCTCGTAGAGTTGCATTCATCTTTTGCCTTACTGTTGCTTGTTTTGCACTGCTATGTGCAAATCATTCAATGTATTAGTAACTATATATATATATGTTGAATAATGTGTCGGGCTCATAGGTTACCATGATGAATTTTCCTTGTTTATGTAGGTCTGGAAATGTAACAAGATCAGTCTCAAAACCTCATGGGCGGAACTTGTTTCTGCAAAGCTTAGTTGAAGAAGGGCAGAATCCAAGCACTAGCAATGGTGGCAGCAACTCCCAGAAAAGTGTTGAATATAAGGACCTGATTGAATGCCTAGAGAATGGCATCAACTTTTGGACAGATTATTCAAAAGTTCACTATCATCCTCAGAGTTTGTATGAGTTATATGGATCATGGACAGACTTTGACAAGTTCGATAACTATGGCAGCGCACAAGAGGTTGTTTCAGACTGGTCGCAAATAGAGGAAATGAATGAGAGGCTAAGGTTCTTTGTTGAAGAATGTGACCATATTCAGGTCCTACCCTTTTTTCCCCAGTAAATTATCAGCAAACTCTACTTACAGTTTTGCAACAAGCTAACGTTCACTTATGCAATCATTTTTGCCATCATGCATATTATTTAGACCATTATTTTAAGCTTAATTGATTCATAATTTACCACAGGGCATCCAGTTTATTGTGGATGATTCAGGAGGTTTTTCCAGTGTAGCTGCACAGTTTTTGGAGAACATTGCTGATGATTACACAAATACACTTGTATTGCTTTACTGTGTGAGGGATCCAATGACCCTTGGACCATCCAGGAGGAATCAAAGGGAGTCCATTATGAGAGCTCTTCATGATGCTGTTTCATTTTCAAAACTTTCGTCCTTTTGCAACCTGATGGTACCCATAGGACCGCCTTCATTAAGTAGAAGTATACTATCCTTTGCCTGAACTCCACATTTTTAGTTTATCTTTTGTTATTGTTATTCTGTGATTTTATAGGACTTCTTTCTGGTTGCCTAGTTTTGCCTTTGATTGCTTCAAGTATACTGATATTGTGCCTTAAGATACTGCACTTGATTGCGTTTCTATTAAATATCAACTCCTTTTGTTCAAGCTGTATATTCACATTTGATTTCCATACAATATTACTTTCATGAATTCCCTTAAAAAAATACTTTCATGAATATACAGAAAGCTTATTCTGAATGAGATTTTCTCACAAATTTCCTTTCACTCTGTTTCATCAGGTTGCATGTCACCGTACCTTTATATACAAGATGAGAAACCATTCCATGCTAGTGCTGTTTGTGCTGCAGCAATACATTCAATCACTGTTCCATTTAGATTGCAACGAACGGGACCGAGTTCAGACTTAGCACATTCATCTGGTAATCTTGACATTGGCGAACTTGTGCACATTTTATCTGATCAAGGTCGGCAGAACATGGTTACTGCTCTGGATGTAGCGATGCCTGCCCCTTCTTTGACAGGTATACAACATAACATATGCCCTACTGTTATACCAACATTGGATGGAAATTTAATCTTGCTTGCTAATTGCACACTTTAATTTGCAGATAGAGATGCTATGGGGAACATAGAGATGAAGCTGCACTCTTTGACCCCTGAAATCAGCGATGAGGACGAAGATCCTTATTCAGTTGAATCGCTAGTGGTTCATGGAGCTCTTGATAGAGGTCTGCACATCTTATCTTTTGCCTTAGGATCTGATTAACTCCTATTATTTGTCATGCCAACAGAACTTATTTTTCTATTGTTGTTAATACTTACAATATTGAACATTTAACAACATTATAGGCATGGTGGCTAAATTTTGGTTATACATGTAGAAGTACAAAGAATTAACAATTGAAATTTGTTTGCACAGGCGGGCAAAGGACTTCCATATCACAAGTGAAGGACTCGGTATGTTCAGTCTACGAAGCCAGAGAGACAAAGCCAAAATTTTCCCATCTCTCAGCATCTCTTTGCCCCCTCCCTGTCCCCCTTCCGTTCCCGTCAATCTTCAGAGGCAACATTGGCCGGCACGGGGAGATCCTTAGTGACCATACAGAAGAATCCCAGCCAAAGGGCTCACTTGACATCGAATCGATACCAATGGCGGCACGGTTACGATCAAGCAGCGCCGTCCTGCCTTTCATAGAGAGGCGATCGGGGAGCCTCCAGAAGCACGGTGTCGCGAGAGGCGCCATCGGGTCTCTGGTCCTCCATGACTGGGGCTTCGGGAGGGAGGAGGTGGAGGACATGGGGGAGCACCTAGCGAAGTTGCTCCGCCCGTTTCACCCTGAAATGGATCTTACTTCGGATTCCGACTAGATCATCTTCGAAAAATCTTACTTCGAGAATCAAGCATGATCCATCTGTTGCAATTTATGTGGATTGTAGTAATACTAAATCTTTTTTTTTCAGAGGGTTTTCAGATACTGAAAATTCATGCTCATGTGGCTGGCTGTTGTGAGATCAAGAATGAGAGATCTGAATCTATGGCCCTGTTTAGATCCGGAGGGCTATTAAATAGCCCTCTGGAATCTTACTATTTAAGAGTATTAAACGTAGATT